ATTTAATTTTTTTTAAAAAAAATATAAATATTATTTAAAATCATTTTTATACTAATTAAAAAATTTATAATTATTCAGTAATTAAATAATTTTTTTATGTAATTTTTCCAGTTAAATTATTATAATAGTTTAAATAATATTATACTTTTTTTATTTAAAATTATTAATTAAATTATTATAAAAATTTATTATCAATTCTGAATACACATATAATTATGATTATTAAATATATATTAATATATTATTTTTATATTTTTTTGCAATTAGTTTTTAAAATATTAAAATATAATATTTTTATATTTTAAATAATTGTAAAAAATATTTTTGTTAAAATATAAATATATATCAAATAATTTGAATAAAAAAAGTGAAAACAATAAGAAATATTACTTAAAATATGACCATATTAAAAAATGGCCGTGAATATGGACATAAACATAATTGTGTTGAGAAGAAAGTCGTAAACATAGACAGGAACTCAAACGTGTACATGACCGTGAATAGGGGCATAAACACGGTCATGTTCAGTGCATGGCAGTGAATACGTCATGTTGAATCTAACACGGCTGTGTGAGTTGCCCTCCTGAATCATTTAATACAGCCGTTTCAGTCCTTATCAGCTACCATGAAACTAACATTGATAAATTTTAGTTTGAATAAGACGAAAATTGATAACGAAAAAAGAAAAAAAATTCAACATGACGAAATTGGTAATTGTAGTATACAATGATACCAAAAATAATTTTTAGTTTATAATAAATTACTAATTGGAAAGGGATTGGATGTTGAAATAAATTTTGCAGCAGTGCTGATTAGTTCAAAAATTAACTATCTTAATTATATTAATAATATAATTAAATGAGATAAATTAATATACTCCCTCAGTCCCATTGAAAGGTTACAATTTTCTATTTTTGTCCCTTCCAAAACAAGTTATCATTTCCTAATTTAATAATTGTACTACATATCTAATATAATAAATACCCTTTCAATTTACAATATATTACACAAATGACATTACTTTTATATTACACCATACTAATACGGGTATTTTTGTCTTTTTTACTACAATTCAATATAATATTAATATTAAAAAATCTACTTGTAAAAAATAAATGACACCCTTCTAATGGAACGAAGAGAATAAATTTTTTTAAAACATTCAGCTTGGATGCTGAATTAAATGTATCAGCACTTGATCCATTACTTTACTAATTTCTACTACCTAAATAATTGTGATCTAAACAATGGATTATATATTTTGGAACGGGTAAGTATATATTTTATCATCTACAAAAAAAAAAAAAAAAAAAAAAAAAAAAAAAAAAAAAGTAACTTTCAATATAAAATATGGGTTTGTTCACATTGTGTTTTTAGGTGAGGCAATTTCTTAGATTTATTATTAAAAATACAATATATATACACATGAACACATGATATATTTATTTTATCTCAATTCAAAGTACTCATTTTTATCATTTTTGTTTATCTAACTCAAAAATGCTTATTTCTTTTTTGTTTTAGTAAAAGTAATTATACGCTAACATCAGCGTATTCTTAAATTTTATTTAAATTACAAACACCGTTACATATACAATTACTTTATACAAAAAATAAAATGACAAAAATGTCAAAACTTCTTACATATTTTCACTGATCAATAAAAATATTATTATTTCTTAATTTACTATAAAATCCGAAAAAAAAAAGCTCATTTCAAATGTGATGGAGGGCATCTGATATATGTACTTTATTTACTTATAAAAAGTCAATTTTTTAACATAATATTATTTACTATTATTACCGACACAATTCATCATTACTAACATAAAAAATAAAATAAAATAACCATAAAAAAATACAAAATGAACAACTTTTAATATTAACATCACCATTTTAGGTGCCTCATATAAAAAATACTCCCTCCATAGTACCACAATTGGAACTATTTCTATTTTTATATGTTCTATAACAATTGACATTTTTCTATTTTAGATACAATTTACTAAATCAAAATATGCTTAACAAATATAAATAAACTTAATTAACTATATAACATATAACATTATAAATAGATATGATTCACTCAAAATCCTTTTATTTCTATATCTCTCCTTAAAAAAAAATATTTTTATCTATATTTAAAATTCTACATCTTTTATAAAATTAATTTTTATTAATTATAAATAAATAAAAGTATTTTTTGTTTACTTGTATTATAGAAAATTTTATTCTCTACAAAATGATATCCATATTGCATATATTTTTTTTTATTGCTACATAATTTTTAAAATATTTAAATATATATATTTTAATTTTTTAAATTGTATCTATTAAATTTACTTTAAAACTATCAATATTATTAATTATTTTAATAATAAAATAATACCATAATTCATTATTAACTAATTAAACATTCTTACCTTAAATACGGTATCCCTAATCAAATGGTTCAATTTTCATGGAACAAAGTGAGTATCTAAAAATAAAATACTAAACCAACAAACTCTTAATTTAATATTTCTTTCGTTTCAACTTAAAGTATCATTGTTATATTTTTTTTTTTATGTTTTACTTAAAAGTATTAATTTTCTATTATAGTAAAAATAATCATATACTAATACTAAAATACCCTTTAATTTTTCATTAAATTACAATATACTATTTCCTCCATCCGTCTCTAAATGTCACATTTATTTTTTGCGTTATTGTACTTAACATTAAAAATATTTTTATATTTGTATAATTTTTTTGTACAAATATCATTTCATTAGTATTATAAGACATTAATGAAAGTATTTTTACAATTTTTTTATTTGTACTATATTTTAATATAATAATTAATATTAAATGTCACGTGCTAAAAATAAATATTACTATCTATGTCTCAAAAAAGAGCACCATTTGTTTTGATGGATTTATTAATATTAATATTTTATTGGTTTATAGTTAAAAAGAAAAAATACTAATATAAAAGTAATAACATTTATATAATATATTAAAAGTTATAGGGATATTAATTATGTTATGGGTAGTACAGTTACTAAATTATAAAATAATATTCTTATTTTAAGATGAACAAAAATATAAAATTATATCATTCTCATGACATGAAGGGAGTATTATTTTTTAATATATATAAAATTAAAAAAAAAAAAAAAAACACACACACACATTCGAATGAAACAAATAAAATACTCCCTCCGTCCACCTCTAAGGGCTATATTTATCTTTTGCGTCATTATACTTAACATTAAAAATATTCTTATATTTGCATTATTATTTTTTTTTACAAATATTCTTCTATTAGGTTATTTTCAACTGGACAACTCCATTTGTGCATTTATAACCCTAAAAATGCAGTTGCTATAGTACTTTAACTCTAACCCACAACTATATTTTCAACTCCAAAAAGAACATTCTCTAAATATTTTATTATATATATTATTTTAGACAATTTTTTATATTAAAAAAAATACAAATATATACAATTAAAAAATATATACAACTATAAAAATTTATAAAAAATTAATAAAAAAAATATCATAATTGGCGTTGTTGGTGTTGTACTTAAGCAAACACAAAAAATGATGTTGGAAATAACGTTGCGTTGGAGAGGCAAATCTCCAAATATGGAACTGCAACGTCATTTTTGACATTGCGTTGGAGATGATCTTAGTATTATAAAACACTAATGAAAGTACTTTTATAATTTTTTATTTTGTATTATATTTTTATATAATAATTAATATTAAAAAATTAACACTTAAAAAAAGTAAATGAAACCTTTAGAGTTTGACGGAGATAATATATATTTTAAAAGATATGTATTCCCTCCGTCCCCAACACCCTGCAATATTTTATTTTTGGTATATCCCAAACACGCTGCAACATTTCCAAAATAAGAAATAATTAATTATACTTAATATCTACCGCAAACTTTATTCCATTATATCATCCAAATAAAAAAAAAATAAAATATATATTTCTCTCTCCATCGCATCATTCAATTTCTAAATTATCCTACTTAATACTATCTACCTAAAAACTCGTGTCAAAAATAAATATTGCACCTTATTTAGAATAGAAGGAGTATATGAAAAAAAAAAAAAGAAAAAAAAAAATCATTCTTGAACCCAGACAAACACACCTCATCTTCAACTTGAAATCCAACTGTAACCAAACAAACACAGATTGGACTTTCAACCGAAACCATCTCCGTAACCCCTAAACTACAATATTTAATTTATTTATTTTTTCTTAAAGAGGGGAAAAAGTCAGAAAACAGGGAAAAGATAACGTGTGGGGTTGGCCCAGATGTCAAGCTTCCTTTTCTTACCCAAACCCGACTTTCTTGCATATATATTTCAACTCTTTTCTTGGCCTTACATAACGTCCAAAGGCTGTTGTCTCTCTCCATTGGACCATAATTATAATAATAATACTCTTTCTATCCTTATATAAATATATATATACACAAAAATTTAAATAAAATATAATTAAAAAATATATTAATAAAAATAATTATAAATTTATATTAAAATAATTATATAATTTAATTAAAATTAAAAATTTATAATTTATAATATTTAAAATATAATTAAAGCGTGTAATAATTAATTAATTACTTCTATGACCAGCTGTCCGTCACCCCCACCAGATGTCAGTCACTCACAGTCAGTCATCCTACCAATCCCCCCACACCATATCTACATATAACTGCATTCTTTTATTACAATTTACATTATTATTATTTATTCTTACCACCAAACAGCTTGAGCATTGTGTAATGTGTAGGTCAACCGTTGCTGCCGCACCTCATCACCTAATTAATATTCTCGAATACTACGCAGCCCCATCTCAGCCGTCCGATCAGATCCCATCAATCTCCGTGGACCCCACGCTCCCGATTTACCCTCCACTCCCCACTTATTTACACAATTGCCATTCCCATTTCCCACCTATAAATCAAGCCTCTTACACCGGCTATGTTTGCCCAAATGAAGAGCCTTAGGGCCCTTTACAAAAATTAAAAAAAAAAATTAAAATTCAATATTCTTACCCTCTCTCTCTCTCTCTCTCTCTTCCTTTCTCTCTCTGCGAATCTCTTTTACTGAAATGGCTGCTTCTTCTAGAAGGTCCGCCGTCGCCGTCGTTCCGGCCTCCCGCCGCTCCGCCGCTCCGATCTGTAATCCTTTTTCCGATGCGTCGGCGCCTTTTACAACGACGTCGTCTTCTTCTTCCTTTGCGTCTTCTACCGCCTATTATTCCTCCTCACCGACTTTCCTAAACCAACGCCGTTCAACCTCTCCCACGCGCGTCAGCCTCCACGCGCTCTCACCGCCGCCTCCGACGCCGTCCGTGCGCTTCTCCATCGACAGATCTATATCCCCTCGCCGGTCGATAGCCGCACCGCCGCGTCGGAGTCATGTAATTCAGAGGAGCGGCGCTCAGAAGAGGACGTGCCTCTGCTCTCCGACCACGCATCCAGGTTCGTTTCGTTGCGCCTTGCATAAGAACACCTTCGGCGGAAGCCAGCACTCCATTTCCTACTCGCCGAACCGCCTGAACATGCGGAGGTCGGCGATGACTAATTCTCTGGTTCGGATCGGAACTGTGGAAGGAGATCTGGTGAAGAGAGCCCTAGCCTCCTTGATCCGTCCGTCCTCTCATCAGCAGCGCCGCCGAGCCGACTTCCAGCCGCGACCGAGCCGCCTCTCCGTCATGACCAGCGCCGGCGATCCTTGAGGAATCACTGCAGTTTTTTTAAAAGCATACAGACCGTCCGATCTGTTCTCCGGGGAGATCCAGCGGTAACCACCACCTGTGCAATTTTGGAAAGCGGAGGATCGATGATTCTCTCCGTTGTACATATGATTTGCAAAATGAAGGACATAATTGGACATCATTTAGCAGCATATTCATAATACACACTATAATTGAAAGAGATCTGAGATCCAATTCACTCTGCTATAATCCAATTCTCAAAACAAAAACACGAGAACTAGAGAGAGAGAAACCAATCGATCAATCATCCATTCGTTCTCCATCCATCCGTTAGTCGCTCAAGCGTCGGGTGGTGTTTCGTCCACCGTCGTCGTTCCTGAGATTTGCGTTGCGTCGTCCATTTCCAGGTACGTTTCTTCTGTTCCTTAATTCCTTCGGTCAATTCGTATACCTACTTTTCCACCATTTCCATTGCTTACTGTTGATTTCTGCTTTGGAAATTAGTTTGTGCCCTAGCCGGCACTTGGTTGTTTTCATTGAATTGCGTGTTGTGAGATCCACGCAGGGACGGCGCCGTTTTGAAAGCTTCGAAGCTCCAAACCTAACAGTCAAGAACAGCGTCGGCCGGGGCTGGACCGGACTTGGGGCTGGACCGGGTTTGATTGGACTAGACTTTAATAAGTTAATAACCAATTAAATATTTACGAGAATTTGAAAATGAAATGAAAGACGTGGGACCCAAGACAGAGAAATTTATGTTGGACAAAATTGAAATAGAGAGATGGCAAAAATTAAAAAATTAAAAAATAATCACATAGTGGGTGGTGAAGAAAAGATGAGTACGTATTTGAATTAAAATTGAACCCTATTATTGTGACAAAATAAATGAAAGGAGAAAGTATTTAAATTGGACTATAGAGATGGAGAACAGGCTGTAAAAGCGTGAAGATGGGACCATGAAGAAATAGTATTAATATTGATATTAAAAATCATGGGGTGGTGCATTAAAGCTAGCTTATCCATTTGCCGCCACTTGCAATAACTACTATACCATGAATTGACTTTAGAAGAATCTAGTAAAAAAAATAAATTATAATAATAAATAAATTTTAATTTAATATTTTTTTAGGAAAATAAAACATTGATAGTGAAATTAGGAAGTATATGGTACTAAAATCTAGTGGCGGCAGTTGTCGTGCTTAAATAATACTCCCCGTAGAGAATTTTGATTGAATAATATTTGTCGGATTAAGTTTATCTGTATTTATTTGCTAACAATTCTGTCGGTTTGGCTTTTGCTCCATTCTTATCTTGTTGGCAAATCAGACATGTTTGCGGATATGCATTGATGTCTAATGTGTTAGACCAATAAAATGATTGTTCGGCTAATGTCTTAGCGCGCGATGAATACCTAGGGTGTGTTTGTTTGAGGGATTTGTGAAGATTTGTACTATTTATTCTTTTTTTTTTTCAAAAATATCAAATCAGATACCTATTTTTTATTTTATACTAAAAAATCAATTTTACATTTAAAACATCATATCAATACCTATTTATATAATATCATACAACTATTCAAATTCAAAATTTATACTATTCAAATTACAACTCAAAATCCAAATTCTCAAACAAACACACCCTAGGTGTATTGTGTATTTGGAGTTAGACACTATTTAAAATTGTTTTGCTAAAGCTTGTCGTAGAGCGAGCATGTCCAATAGATCGTCTGATGGTGAAGAGTAAGTCTTTTCTTTTTATAAATTTTTTGCATCTTGCATTTTTTAGCATCAGCCAAGGGATTTTTGGTCTTTCCTTGATATGTCGGGAAGGGCTTCTTACAGTTAGGTGATGCGATTGGATGCATTGAAACTAAATGTATCTAACATATAATTAACTTTGCTCGATTTGTACACTAAGTAAGATAAAGTTGAAGTTTGCGTAAAAGTTTTGTCACCATGCAGTAATGGATGATTGTCAATATATCTTTGTCATGGACCAGATACTTTTGCTTAATGCCCAACTTCCGTTATCCGTACACCGCGAGGTAGTCTCTTTTGCATCAACATTTCTAAATGGTATAGTATTGTTAGCATTGGATTTTGGTATTGGTATTTTGGTTTATATTTGCAGGAAGTCACAGACTGCACATGGTCAAACTGCTGGGCCTATGAATCCATGATCACAATAAACGAAGCTCATAATGCCGATGACTCATTATTGGTTCTTCAGGCCCTTACTCGTATAACTGGTCCTCTCCATTGAAGAATGAAAAATCTGTTGTAACATCCTAGTGTTGTGGTGGGACTTGATTGGGGGAATAATAGATTTTGGTATAAGGAATAAAGTTTGTTAGATTGCTTTTGAAGTGTTTTTTTGGTGATGATTAGCTGAGAATGAATAAGTGAGTAAGGGTGTGAGGGGGTGTTCGTGGCTAATGAGTGAATCTAGATGAGGTAAATTAACAACTCTTAAGGGAGATGAACACAACTCTTATATAAGCTCAACTTGTCCTCGATTTAGTGAAATCATGTCGGCTTTGTTTACTTGTGAGATTTTATCCATGATTTTATTATTCCAACTTCATTTTCCTTCAAAAACATCAAATCAAATACCAAATTTTTATTTATTTTATTACACTAACATCTAATTTTACATTCAAAATATCATATTGATACATATTTATATCACATCAAACAATTATTTTAATTCAAAATTTTGCTATTCAAAATCAAAACTCAAAACCAAAACTTCACAAGTAAATACACCCGTCTAGGTTGGAACCCCCCATATATAGGTCTCTTGCGACCGAACCGAATTATCAATTTCGTGTGTTTCATCTTTGAGCTTGTAAAGTGTGTGCGCTTTGTTTGCACGAATTGTCTGTGGTTAAATCTATTTGTTCTTATGTTTAAGTTGTTTGATCATTGTTGTTGTTATTTGTTTGTTGTTTGGTTTTGAACGAATTTGGGGCCAACAATTGGTATCAAAACAGGGCTCCCTGACGCTACTAAGGAGTGGTCCATCGCCATGGCAGGAAAGAAAGACAACTCGATAATAAGACCTCCTTTATTGGATAGAGAAAATTTCCAGCACTGGAAGAATAAAATGAAGTTTTTCATAATGTCCATTGGAGGAGATGCCTCGGATTCAGTTCTAAATGGTTGAACTCCACCTATGAAGACATTAATGTTTGAAGGAAAATGTGGAGATAAAGGCGATCTGATCGATACTACTATAATTGAAAAACCAATAGGGCAATATACTATTGAAAAAAAAGCTCTGTGCGATGCAAATTCCAAGTCCATAAATGCAATCATAAACGGGGTCGATCAATCATTGTATCAGGTAGTCTCAGCTTTTACACAACAAATGAGGTGTGGGATGCACTGGTAGCACGTTCGAAGGGGATGAGAAAGTTAGATGCTCTAAACTTCAGATGATTGAGAAAGAATTTGATAATCTCCAGCTTAAGGATGAAGAAATTTTTCGAATACAATAATAGATACAAGGGTGTGGTTAATTATGCTCACAATTTAGGGTTGGTTTATGAGAAAAGTAAGCTAGTATTCAAGATGATGTTCACCGTGTCTGAGAAATTCTATAACAAAGTGTCTACTCTTCAGGATTTGGAGAAATCGAGACAATGTCCCTAAATGCTTTTATTGAGACCTTAGAGACCTTTGAAATGAACTATATAAAGGTTGATCCCAAACGTGTTGCGTTCACCTCAGAAGATACAACAACAAGAGACCCTGATAATTTGAGTTACTTCGTATTACAAAACGTCTTTTCTAAATGATTCAAAACAAAAAGTCCAGATAGCTAAAACAGACAATCACCAAAACTGGCAGTCTCGAGGTATCTATATATAGCTCAAATGGCTTTGTGTAATCTATAAGCCCTAGTATAGGGCCCTTTGATGCCTTCAACTTCAAATTCTCAAAGAAAGTTTGGCACTCACTTGTCCTTTTCCAAACGACCTTCTTCAATAAATTTATTAATGACATCTCATTCGACAAGTATCCAACAATGAATTGTCAATATTAGCTCACCAAGCCTAGTGTTATGTGCCAAATATGTGGTTGAAGACAATTGAGATAAAATCCCAAGGTGACTGAGAGAATACCGCAAAGTGAAGCTATGACCAGGGTCCAAAAAATGCCGGGAAAAGACAACCAAGATAGAAAGACTATTGGAACCTTGAACATTTTGGAACTCGCTGAAGGACCTAGAGCATCAATTACTTCCATATTCTAATAGGTTAGACCGAGTCTATGTCTATCAAGTACTTTCTCCGTTCCAAACATCCTGCAATATTTCTTTTTTGATATATCCCAAACACAATACAACATTTCTAAAATATGAAATAATTAATTATATTTAATATTTACCCCACACTTTATCTCATCACATCACTCAAATAAAAAATAAAATAAAATATACACTTTTCACACCATTACATCACATAATTTTTAAATTATCCTACCTAATACTCTTCATCTAAAATCATGTGCCGAACTAAAATTTTGCTCAATGTTTAGGACAGAGGGAGTAATTTTGACTTGATATGTACTTATCTTGTAATAGATAGACTTAAGCTTGTGATCGATAGATTTTTGGCCCCAATCTATCCATTATATATGCAAATAGAGGATTTATCTTTATTTGTAAACTATGAGCTAATGATAGTCAATACCTTGAGCGATTTTTTTAGAATATCAATATTCTAGATATTTTTTTATTTTTTACTTTGGTGTACATTTATACTAATGTAGTGAAGCTAACCTAGCATGATTTTCAAAGTTACCAAAGAACTGTTAGCCCCAACAGAAAAGTATTTGAGAAAGAACCATTCAACTTATTATAAGTGGTATTGGAGCTGAGTTCGAAGAGAATGTCGAATGACAGCGGTGTAAATATGCTTATGCCTATGCTTGAGAACCAAAAGAGGGAACACAAGGGACAAATCCGTTGATCTCTTGGAGTTTTTAGAGAACAGGTTGGCCAAAGTATAGCTGATGGTGGGTAAATACTATGACAAGTTTGATAAAGTGGGACAACATATTTGCAAAATCAAGGGGGATGACTTGTGAGAAAATATACTAACTCGATTAAGTTTATGGTGAATGAGACTTGAAAGCAGGATCATGCAATGCGGGAGCTTGTTGACGCCCAGGATGTCACACTTAAAGAGTCACTTACGACTAATAATGTTGAACT